GTCCGCCAAAAACTAAAAATAAATAAATAAATAAATATTTAAAAATTAAAAAAAAAACTTAAGAGGACCATCACACACACTTTTTTTTTTTTTTTTTGGTGCTAGAGAAAGAACCCAGGACTTTCCATATGCTAGGCAAAAGCCCTAGCATTGAGCCACACCTTAGCCCCCATATTTTCCACTTTGTATTGATATTTCACTCTGTATTTGCATTAGTGATAAATTTACATGTCCACTTATTTCTTTGGTGAAGTATTTGTTCATTATCCTTTTCCTACTTCCCCATGCTCCCCAAAACATCATCAAACCCAGAGTCACACGAAGAGACTCATTTTTGTAGACATGACCGTGCTGATCCTGGCATCGACTCCAGAAGTGTCACACTCCACTGTCATTTGGCCGTACAAGCTCCTGGGTGGGGAACAGGATCCCATGACAGGGTTGAGGGACTGGGCTCAAGAAGTTCATGTGGCTACTAAGAGGCATATCCTCTGGCTCCAGGGCCATTGCTTTTCCTTCCATAGCTCTGCCTTAAAAAAAGAAAGAAGACCAACGGAGCTGTAGTCCACACACCCACCATCCGATTAAAACACACACCTCAGTGGTCATGGGTGTATTCACACAGTTGTGCCGTCATCAGTCACCACAGTCACTTTCAGAACATTTTCATCATCCCTTAAATGAAGACTTTTACCCACGGTACAGGCCCCCAGTCCCCCACACAGAGGTGAGGCGTTTTAAGACGAAAAGGGCTGGGTGGGGTGGGCCGGGAGAACGAGGCTAAGCAGGCTCCAGTGGCCTCACCTTCCTGCTCTGGTTCTTGGTTTCCTTCCATCCAAATAGGCATTTTTTTAATATTTATTTTTTAGTTTTAGGTGGACACAATATCTTTATTTTCTTTTATGTGGTGCTGAGGATCGAACTCAGTGCCTCACGCATGCCAGGCGAGCACGCTACCACTTGAGCCACATCCCGAGCCCAAATAGGTATTTGTTGAGCACTTGTTGTGTACCAGCCTCCACGCTGGATCTGTTAGAGATGAACTGAAACCAAGAGCAAAGGCATGACTTATTTGGGTCCCTGCACCAGTTGGTGGCAGAGAGGGGCCTGGGATGGGAGATGGAGGAGGGATTCTGACCCCCAACTCAAGGCCAGCTTCCAGCTTGGAATGATGTGACAGATGACAGAGAGGGACTTTGCTTCTCACTGACTGAGGTGGTATGGCCCCAGGTGGGCACCAAATAGTTGGTTGGCCTCCTGGTGAGCACAGTCATCAGGGCAGTGTCAGATGCTCCAGGCCCATCAGACAGGGTCCTTTTCCCACTTCCCCATGCTCCCCAAATCATCATCAAACCTAGAGTCACACGGTATCTGTCTGAGTGCACCTAGGTCTTCTGTATCTTCTTCAGTCCCTCAACAAACACAAAGGGCCTCTCAAGATCAGCCTGAGTGCTGCAGGGGGTACAGGGGCAGGAGGACAACTCTCTGGCATTCCTGAACCAGTTCACTGTAGGGGTTCAGGGAAAGCATCTAAGCTGGGACCTGAAGGAGGAGTAGAAAGGAACTGGGAAAGACTTGGAAGCCCTCAACTTCCTGAGCAGAGAGAGAGAGCAGAGGTGAGGCCAGAGGATCTTCACTCGGGCTAGAGGGGAAGGGGCCCAGTGCAGAAGGGGATCGCGTTAACCACGAGAGCAAGGTGGAACCTCTCCGTGCGGTACCAGGGAGCCATGGAAGGGTTTTGAGCAGGGGAGGAACAGGGTCAAATTTGAGAGCACTTTCTGGGACTGCTGCGAGGGAGAGGCATTGCAGCAGGCAAGAGGGAAGGCAGGACTGACTCAGGGCCCACCCTAGGTACTCAGGGCCCAGGGAAGGCCTGTGGGGAGGAGAGGGGCTCCACTGTGTCTATAGAGAAAGATGACAGTAACCCCAACACAGGAGTCTCTTCTTCCAGGCACCTTTTTTGCCCCCACAAAAAAAGAAGTCAAACAGAGTGAGACTGACCCGAGTCACATCAACGTTGGTTGACGGCCAAGTCTCAATTTGATGGCCGTCATGGTGGCCCGGAGGGGGAAATGTCAGAGAGGCCAGCTCCCTCTCCCCAGAGTCCTCTGGACTGTGAGAGGTTTGGCTAAGGGACTTAGACAGGGCCAGGGCCTTGGGATAAGGACACGGTGTCCTCAGTTCACCCTCGGGGCTCCCCTGGGCCTGGCTGCCCTCTCCACTCCCACCCTGTTCCCAGACAAAGACCAGGAGGTGCCCAGTGGCTATCAGTCCCCCACAGCCTCCAGCTCCTGTCTGGGGAGACAAGTGGCCTGTCAGAGCTGCCTGCTATAAAGCCGATGGATGGTCCCCGGCTGGCATCTGGACAGTGCGTGGGCTCTGGGGAGGACGTCCCAAGCCCGCCTCCACTGAGATCCTTGTGCATTTGGCCATCTCCAGGAGGAACGCCTGTGAAATGTGACCCCGTGGAAGGGAAGGAGCTGGGCTGGGGGGCCCGGACAGGCATCCTGCCTGGAAGGCCAAGCCTGTTACTTAGGCTCCAGGGAGAGCTTTGGGATGGAGCCAACAGGCACGATCAGAGGGCATTGAAGGAGATCGGCAGACAAGGTCAATTTAAACCCTACCCCAGCCCCAAGGAAAAGAGCAGTGGGTAAAAAAGACCCAGAGTACATCCCATCCTTGCTGTGTGACCTTCACGGATCCCGTTGTCTCTCTGGGCTCAGTTTGCAGATCTGTAAAATGGACACTCAAGAACCCCTGCCTTGGAGATAGTGCAAGTGTGGTGTATGTTTTGCATTACTGTGATGAAAGACCCAAGGCAATCTACTTTATAAAGGAAAATGGCTTATTTTGGCTCAAGTCCTGGAGGTCCACAGCTAAACAGTCTCACCTGGCAATGGTCTTCTTGCTGGCAGACTCCGAAGGTGGCCCAGAGCATCACGAGGAGAGAGAGAGTGGGGCATGAGTGTGCGCATCCACAGCCTCTGGTCTCTCTCTTATAAAGCCGCCAGGATGCAATCGGAGCTCCATCCTGATGACCTTATCTAATCCTAATCCCCTCCCGGCGGCCCCACCAGAAACACCTGGTTGGACTGAATGTCCACTCTTAGGACTTCACAATGGACGTTAAACGTCAACACACGAACCTTCAGGGGGCACTCAGACCAAATCTACCCTTCACACTGGTTCTGGAAACTTGGACTTCGTGTGAAGTGGGCAGGTCACAAACAGGAGAGCCAAGTCCTGCATTCATTCTGCTGGTCCAGAGAGCTGGAAATCTCAGAGCTCTGCCACCAATAGGGGCCCCTCGTCCCCTA